TTAGCTTAGAGATGGAAGTATTAACATGATGATCTCACATCAAAAATAGGTTATAACCAAAAATCATAAGGGAAATTAACACAAATAACACACACAAAAACTTTAATCTAAAAACTAATCAAATCCTATTTTTTTCTCCCTCTATCTCTACTTTTTAAAATATATTTTTTTTTTTTTGGTTATCTCACAATTTGACCCAAATCATAACATGTAATCTTTAAAAAATTGTTTTTCTTCATGATTTGTGCCCAAAATCTTCAAATCTTTGTAGAATCAATCGAGTCTTGGATCCGGGAAATGTCGCGCCAGAGCCACCGAGATTGCTAAAATCTTTATCTTATCTTTTTTTTTTCATTCTCATCAAAGAAAAGCTTTTGAAGAGTTTCATCACATTTAACGGAGATAATAACCCGTTTTTCCTTGGGTGAATATTCCTAAAACAGACAAAACCAGATCTGGATTTATTCATAGATCCAAAAACAAAATCAAATCACCGAATAATTACAGATCTACTCACTTCAAAATTGTTTGCCCACACATAGTGCATTACCATTTTAGTTATCTACTTTTTTTTATGCTAGAGCTGATGCTTTCTTTTTGCACTACTTATGCACTCTTTCTGAGTAAATTCAGCCAAAATCTGAAAAACAGGGTAGCTTTTCCGAATTCCTTCAAGATCATAAATAGAAGTTGAGTTCTTCAAGTGGCTCACTGATCCGTCTCTAGTATGAGAATTCATGTATTGAGTCAAAAATCTTGATGAAGCAGGGATGATTACATTAGAACCGAAACTAAAGAGTAAAATGTAGATCTAGAATCATAATAGGCAAATCTGCAAAAACAAAAGAGTTTCTAGAATTTACAAAAGCAAGTCCTTCGGTTTAGTAAATGCTTCAGAATTTAATTCGATTTAGTCACAAATCTATGCTTAGTTACTAGATCTATCCTATTTAGAAGTATAACAACAACAAAATCAAAAAGAAATCTTGAAAACATTGAACATTATAAATCAATTTTAGTTCATAGTCCGGTTTATGTTGGTTTAGTTTACTTTACAATTTTGGTTCATTGTACATTTGAGAAGTCAAGGAATAGAATTTTTTTTTTGATATTTTCGCTTGATTTCCTAAAGCTAATAGCAGTTTTGGCCTTTTTTCTTGTAAGAGTCTTATAAACCATCAAATAGCCAAGTCAAAATCATATTTTCACAGTTTTATAAAACCGATTAATTACTCTTAAACTAGGTTTCCACCCACGCGTTGCATGGGATATCATTAATATGTTAAGTAAATCATTAAATATCAATACAATAATTTGAATTTTAGAAGGTATAATTCTATGCAACTACAATGGATTCGGCAAATACGTTTTACCAATTAAAAGAAAACACAA